ACAGGACTGGGGTGTCAAGACCGTGAACTAACCGTCCGAGTCGCCCGATCTGAACCCAATTGAACTGATTTTGGGCAGTATGAAAACTCAATTTCGGTCAACCCTCTTATATCTTGTATCCAAATCTTAGATTTAAATGTTTCAGTCGTCACACCTTCAACAATTGCGGAGCTAGAAGAATCCATTCGGTCATACAATTGTAGCGGTGGAATCCGCAAAATTGCGGGATTTGCGGAACTCGCGGGATTTATTTTTAGCTTCTTCTAACAAGGGAATGGTCAGAAGTCGAAGTGGCCAATCCATACAAGCTGCATACCAATCGATGCAGCATAGAATGCTGATTTCAAATGTGTCTTCCGTATCTGCAGAGCGCCTTTGTGGGCGAAGTTATGAGCAGCTTTACTGCGAAAAAATCGTCCACAAAAACTGCGAAATTAGGCAGATCACTGCTCTTTTAGCTCACCTTTAGGTACGAGCCATATGAACTGACCTAGTTACACGTTTTGGTCCAACACTGAGCCGAGAATGGCTTTGTATGGCCAAGTTTGACCTTTACACGCACAATTTCTTAGCAAAATGATGACATTCAACGGCTTATAACTTCGCCTACAAAGGCGCTTTGCAGATAAGGAAGACGGATCTGAAATCAGCATTCTATGCTGCATCGAATGGTATGCAGCTTGCTTGAATTGGCCATTTCGATTTCTGACCATTCCCTCGTAAGACAATTTTTAATTTTGGCCGGATTCCACCGCCAGCTGCACTGACAGAGGCTCACGCCTGAGATTTGCCGCAGATACATTGAAAGCATTCAATGGAGGATGCCTCTCGTCGTAAACGCCAGAGGTGGAAATATAATAGACAAAAACCGAAAGAAATGGACCCTCTGGAAACGGATACCGAAAACGAATCAGAGGAAGATGATGACTGGTTTTAATCAATAATTATGTGATAAGCAAATTCAAAGAATATTTGTATTATTTATGTAAAAATTTATCTAGGCTTCTATTCGTGATCCAAATTACTGGTTTATGACAAATTTCTATTTTAAGTTGTTCGCTTGTTTGTCGAGCACCACCGTAGCCTGTGAATCTTTATAAATAAAATGAATGACTTAATTGGATTTTGTGCACACTGCATACTACAAAGAAAAAAAATGAAAGTTGAAAAGAATAAATTTTTCAAATTGAAATGATCGATGCTGCAGACGTGCTGTTGGTCCCGTAAATCATAACTAGTAATCAATTTGATTTTTGTGAATTCTAGCTAGATTGGATAAAGAATTTTGTGCAAACATCATGCAACAAGGAAAAATTTGAAACTTGAAAAAATTGAAAATTTCTACAAAGAACCAAAAGCAAGAATTTTGTTCCAACTTTGGAATGATTATTTAAAAAAAATTGACTTATGCTGTTGGTAGTTTTTCTGCGAAAATGCAAATTTGAAAATTTGAAAATTGTTTTTGATTTTCAAACTTATTTGTTTTCCGTTTTGTCTCATCCTTCATTTTGACAAGAGTTAGTTTAAGTTTGCACATTGGGCATGGGGCATCATCTGAAATGCGAAAATGCCTGGGTCACAGAGCTTGGGTGCAAGTGCACCCATACAAATGGACCAATGACTTTAGAGCGAATATTTGAAGAATACATCTCGTTTCTACCTATTTGGAACAATTTTCGTACCATTAGATCTTGCGCACTCAAATTCAGAAATAATATTCAACAATAATATTAGGTCGGTGCAAAAGTTTTGTCAGTTTTTTTCAAACCATCGGCAAACACGTTAGAATAAAGAAGAAACAGTTCAAAACGTATCCCATGCAGAATTTCTTCCTCTTTCCAGCTGCTCAACTAGCGTTGTCTTTCGTTGCGAGAGTGACAAGATATTTGCTGGAAATTACAACCACTCCTTTTTACCATGTTCAACTTTCGCTAATTCTCGAAATTTTTGTGTGAAACTTTTGGAGGAGCCCTAATAACCACCAGATAGGGCAAACATTTTGCCAACTGTTGCAATTTTTGTAGCCTCATTGCTTGTCTTCCAGAATTTCTGCGATTTATTTTTTGAAGTCACCAAATTTTACATTCAGCCTACTTCAACCTCTTAGAGCATAAAATATTAAACACTTCAGTCACCATTCAATGCAACTTTTTCTCCTCTTTCTAGCACTTGTCTTTTTTTGGTGAGACAGGCGAAATTTGTGGGGAAAATCGCAGTATTTCTCAATTACAGGAGTGCGCAGTGACGTAAACTACGTTTCAAAATCTTCATGTTTTGAAGCGAAAATCGCTCATTCACTTTGTAATGGTAGCTTTAGTAATAATCGAGTGCTGAAACCTCAGTTTTCTGTAGCTTTTGCAGTGTTTGATGCAATAACAGTTTATGCGATTCTTCCAAAATACGATACTTTTGGAAATCATTTAGTAAAATTTTGAAAAAGCAGCTAAAAAAAGAAAAAAAATTGCATATGGTGGCAAAAGGTTTGCCCTATCTGGTGGTTATTAGGGCTCCTCCGGAAATCTCGTACAAAAATTTTGAAAATTAGCGAAAGTTGGACATGGTAAAAACGAGTGGTTGTAATTTCTAGCAAATATCTTGTCATTCTCGCAACGAAAGACAACGCGAGTTAAGCAGCTGGAAAGAGGAAGAAATTCTGCATCGAATACGTTTTGAATTGTTTCTTTATCTTTATTCTAACGTGTTTCCCGATGGTTTGAAAAAACTGACAAAACTTTTGCACCGACCTAATATAATAATAATATCTCAATAATAATATTTTAGAAAGTTTGAATTTTCTACCTCGGGTAACAAATGGCCTTTGCTAGATGCTTTTGTTTGCTAATCCAGAAACTATTAGCCAGAGA